GATCTACCATTGAGTATACAACAAAAACAAATGATATTGCTCGAGCCATATATATTCTTTTAAGCCGTCAAAAGTTGGGCAGTGATTGTGCAACAAAATTTGAAGCAGGAAAAGGCTTATTTTAGATTTTGAACAAAAACCCTCAAAAATCGAAAATATTGTTCCAGTCAATTTTATGTATACTATAAATTCAAGATATGAGCTTGCCATTAAAACAAAAAAAACACACAAATATGATAAGAAAGAGTCTAAAAAGCTCAAAGTTTGCAATGCATACTCTGGCTGTCCCACCTTTTGAGAATGAGTCATATACAAACAGAAAATAAAGAAGCAGAGATAATAATACTACAAATTAATTATATTTTCAACCGGTTTTCAAATTGGGCTGTCTTTGTCTTGCTCTTCACCCTTCGTGGTCAGGAGTGGATTCCTATTTATTCATGTAATCACTAGATTATTATAGGAGTAGAGGGCAGAGGTTTTAACGGAGTTTTTGAAATTAAAGTCGAAAGAAAAAAGCAACAAAGCACGGCAGGAACGAGATTATTAGGAGTAGATCTCGATCTAGGCTCAACCAGTTCATTCTTACTTAGTTATATATATACTTACGCCTACAAAATCAGTGCTTGTGACTGCTTATGAGAGTGGCCCGGAGTAGGGCTGGGCAATGAGTCGTTTTAGCAAAATCCGGATAGTGTTAGTGCACCTCTTCTGCGATTAAATGAGTCATGAACCACTTCGGCAAATGGGTTAGAAGAACCACTTTAAAATATGGGTGCACCCACTTCGGCAAACGGGTCAAGAAAGAGAGTTTAAGAGTCTGAATTCGGATACTGTTTCACTGAGAAGTATCCGGTTATCCGGATTTTGCCCACCACAAGCCCGGAGCCGAAAGGGGCGAACAGTGCATTTATTAATAATTATTATGCAGCAATGAAACAGATTTGTGTGCTGTGCACATGGCACAAGTTTGAACCAGATCTATTCAAATTTATATAAGACCTACGTGACTACGTGTGTATTTGGGAGACGATATTTCCAAATTGCGGGTGGGAAACCGTGATTATTAAATTGATTATCATGTAGACGCTTCCCCCCTGCCGGTCGATTCAAACAAGTTTCCAGCTGTTTGAGAGGGAGGCCTATGATCCGTCATGTCATAATAATAACCTTTATGTGTAGGCCCAGCCCGCAACTCTCACCACTCACGACAAATCATAGGTGAAATGAGCAATGAGCAATCATTCTGTTTACAGTTTACACAGTATGTAGATCTACATGTAATTTAAAGTAAAAGTGTCGCTCGTTCGCTGAGTGGTGGCGACCCATTTGTTTGTTTTACAGTGGCACTCGGTCTTCCTCCTCTGGAGTCTGGTGAATTTCGCTTTATTTTAGATCATCTGTTGCACAAAACCAGCAACAACCCCCCCCCCCCCCTCCCTTTTCCGCCCAACCCCCCAAAAAAACCCACCCAGCTCCACATACTAAACAATAGTAATAGTACTCCCCTTTCCAGTTGGGACTGGAACCAAAGGTCAGGGTTTGTTTTTAATGTTTCATTTTCATCTGTCTTGTCCAAGACGCCCACATTTCACCTCGACAACGAAGTTTATAGTTTTTAGTAAGATTTTACGGCGCTCGCGCTGCATAAGGTTATTTGAGCGTCAAGGGGAGGATGTCAACCACTCAACGGACAGAAAAGTCCAAACGGGGAATCAGGCTTACTCTGCTCACCCCTCTTGCCTCAACAGCACGAAGTCTGCTTCGACTATCAAGGCACCCCGGAATTAGCAGCTCACAGTCACAAGAGAGTGACAAACATACAAAAGTAGTAGAGAAAAAAAAGGACGATAGGATGAGGAAAGAAAAAGCAGCAGTTCCCTTATACTTACACTACGACGAGGGTGGCTCTCTTGAACAGTTGAGAGCAAAGAGAGGGAGAGAGAAAGAACAAGACCCAGATAGAGAGAGGGAGCAAGGGAGAAACACAAGATCAAGAAGAGTGTTACATCAAAAAATAGATTGAAATAAAAAGCTTCCCAACTTGCAGGAAACTCTATACAGGGATGGGGACTAACCCCCAAAAAATTTTCGGAATTCTGCGACAGCAGCAGGCTGAAGCCGGGAAGAAATTTACGTTTAAAGTTAAAGTATTCTCTGAGAGTGTTTTGAATTTAAAAAAAAAATTAAAATAAGGTGTTATTTCACTAGGAAGCAAACATAATTGATAAAATTAAAAAATACAGAAGCCTAAATTCATCTAAATACTTACATTACAAGGAATGCTTCTTCCGGTCAAATCAATGTTTGATGGTCTAGCAGTAACCTAATTATTTTCCCTGCATGTTCATGTTCTCATGTTCAAGTAGGAGGAGAAATGGTAGTATGTAACACTTTCGTCAATTTTTTTTTTTCAGCATTTATCGTGGGCAATTTTTTTGGGAGGTAAAAAATTTTCGGAGAATCCCCATCCCAGTCTTTACATGTATGCTTCTACGGCAACTGCAAAGAGCCTCTATCCCTTACACCACAGATGCCAGAAGAGAGAAAGAAATTTAAAATCTAAAAATAATGAGAAGACAGGAAGAAACTTATTTTAACAGAGAAGAAGAAAGAGTAAGTCAACAAACACATTGTACAAGAGTATTCAGTAACAATCACAGAAAGATTATATATTTTTTAAAATACATTTTATTTTATCTTTTTTTTTTTTGAAGTGTCATTTCTTCAAGCGACATTTGTCACAAATGTAGGAAAATGTGAAAATGCAAGTAAAAACGGTCATCATAGCGTGACATGGTAGATCAAGCACACATGTCACAATGGAAATCACTCTCCTCCTGGGCAACTCATCTGTCAAATCATCAGCACCCTGGTCAATCTCCACTCTATGACCGGACACCTATCAGCCTCCCCGCCAGATGGCACAAAGCATCAACAGACGAGGACATTATGGAATTTTTCTGTTTGCTTTGAATGGGAAAGCAAGTTAATACTGCGAGCATTTGTGAGGGGCTCTGAGAAAAACTGTCATCAGGTGAATACTATCTAAAACTGACAATTGAGCAAGTGAGAAAAGCACCATTCTTAAGCTTTTTGTATGCCTATTATGAAAAAGTAAAAAGATTAAGACCATTTTAAAAGGCATGAGAGCACAAAGGATAAGTTTTGAGAAAATGGCTTTAAAAATGTTATATGACTAGGTAATAAAAAGAGGTAGACTAAAGATGAGCACCCCTGGAGTCTACTTCTGCAACTACCACAGTCATACAGACTAGTTTCCCCCGAAGGGGTAAAAAAAAAAATCTTGAAGCACTAGTAAAGGTTCACTAGAAAATTCAGTGGAATTTCCACTTTTCTGATCTCAGCTTGTTTCTTATCTCAACTTAATGATATCATTTTGCACCTTTGATAGCTAGCTACTCTCAACAAAGCCCCTCACATTTTGTTTGTGGTGGCAATACAGGCTTGAGGACATTCAGGACAGAGTTCAGGCACACTACCCACACACAGGCACAAAAACACAGGCGCACGATGATATGTGTACAATCTGCATGCAATACTTGTATATACAGATAGAAAACGTCTCTCTATACATTGTTCAGCCATTTTAATTCTTTCAGTGACGGATTGGCAAAGTCCACTGGGAGATCACAGAGGCGCAAATCAACTCACATACACATACCACAATATAATGCATTCACTCAGACAGACATACATACAGAAGCCCACAAGCTAAGCACATCGTGGGGAGGTGGAAGGGGGGGTTGGGTGTCTAAGACCACAGGTATATCACCAGGCACCCATGCACGTACACACACACATACTCACAACACTGACATAGCTGACCATCTATCCCTCACAGCATGAGTTACACCAACCCATAGAACTTCCCCTTGTCCTTTGCAGTCACAGATTAGGAAGTCCACACATTGACATACTCACTTTACTCTCTCTTTCACCTACACACTCAACACACACACACACACACTCGCACGCAGTCTGAGGCAGGGGTCACCTGAGCACCAGAGCAATGGGTCTATGTTGAAAGACGTTTGGCTGAAGCGACTGGAGAGCAGAGCTGAGACCCCACAGAGCCCCCCCACCCCCCTCCCCTCATAGAGCCCAGATCCACCCCTCCTCCTTCCATGATGCATGAGAAGATGCATGAGAAGATGCATAAAGTAGCTCATGACGAGATGAATAATGTGGAGAGTGGCATAATGAATAAAGTGGTACATGAAACAATGAATAAAGTGACGCATGACGAGATGATTAGAATATCGAATGACAAGATGACTAAAGTGGCCCTTGACATGATTAAAAAAGTGGCGCATGGCCATAATAAAAGTGGCGTATGACATAATGTGGTACATGACACAATGAATAAAGCAAGAAAACCTAACACTCCAAAACGGTGAACAGACATACAATTGCACAATGAAAAAATGCCCATGATTAATCAAAACCGCTGCCAGTCATGCTCAGACCACTGTCGTGACCAGCGGTCAAACGGGACACAAAACACTAGTGTGCGTGTCAGTAGCATGAGCCTGGACACAACTGGTATGAGGTAAAGCAGGGAAACAGGAGGGACAATCAGGGGGGCGGTGAATGGCGCAGGACATGAGGGGAACATATGGTCATCCCTAGCGCTGACCGCCCCCTTACAAGGACTACCACACAGTGATAAACAGCACGCAAACACACACACACACAGTGATGTGATGTACTGCACACACACACACACACTGATGTACAGCAGACATACACCCATAACACAGAGAGGTCAAATGTCCCTGAGCTCACAACCATCTCAGTTGAGGCTAATCACCTCAACAACCACAGCATACATACACACCAATGCATACACCTTGTCTCTGTACATATGATACACACACACATACACACAGGCACCCAACACACACAAAGATTTTCAAGCAAGGTCTGTACAGCTCCCCAAGACGTGGGACCGGACCAGGGGAGGTAATATCCAACAGTGGAAGGGACGGGAACTTGTCCGGGTCACTGGGTGAGCCCGGGCGCGGTGAGGCTGGGTCATGTGACTAGGTCATGTAGCGGTTGAGGGCCCGTAGGGCGTAGAGCAGCTCTGCCTGTTGCCGCGCCTCCATCAGCATCAGGTTCACGTGCACCTAGGAGTAAACAGGGAGGAAATGTTACTTTTCCAACTTTTCCAGTACTGTGGACATCATAATTATAACAGTCAGAGACATGTGGGGTTGGGGTCAATTTATTTCGCAAGGAACAGGGGGCATTTTGAGGCGAGGGAAGAAGAACACGGACAGACAGGGAAGACAAGTCACTTTAAAGGAGCTGGCGACATTTCATGTCAAAGACAGGTTGAGGCCAAGAGACAGGAGAGACATTTCACCTCACAGAAACCCATCTGCAACTTATTTGACATGGGCAAGGTATTTCAGTTGACAGACGGAATATTTCAGATAGCAGACCTGCGGGAAGGGGTTTTTAAAAGGGTACGAGATTGTTGAGTAGAAATCACCACCACTACATCTTTTATTCCTGTTGGGGGATGACAGGAGCCAGTCCATGAAGAGATCCTTGTTCACTCCTCTGATCGAATATTGTTAGAAAGAGAACAGCAACAAGTGTGATGATTTTTTTCGTTGCCATTAACAATGCAAACAAATGCTCTCAGGTCTGACACAACACTTTAGAAAAAAATACTCTTACTCGAGAAAGAATTAAAAGTTTTGAGTTTCTTCCCTCCTACTGTAAGTTTTGGTTTTCCAAATGGCCGGCTTATACTATACCACCCTCCCACCACCTTTTGTTTCTGCCTCACCTTCTCGGAGTGTTTAAACTCTCTCATGACCCCATCGTAGTCCTTCTTGGTCAGTCGTTCAGGGTAGCAGGTCAAGGTTTTGATGTACCCCTTCAGGTTTCTCTCCAACAGCTGGTTCACCTGTACACACAAAAAACACAAAACTTTATTACATACAGAACGGAAGTCATTTATTTGATTCTCTCTCTCTCTCACAAACACACACAAAACACATCGAGGGTACTAACAGTCATTCACTGTCTTACAATTAAATACACACACAGAAACACATTAAGAGAGGATGAGAACACTGACAGTTATTTACCGTCTCACCCTCTGTCTCTTTCCCTCAAACACACAGAATCGTAAAAAGGGTACTAAAAGTCATTCTTGTTTCACACACAGTGACACTGATGTACAGCATACACCGTACACATAAACATTTTTCCAACAGATCCAACAGACTGTCCAAGCAAAGGGAGGATGTGTCATTTGTGAGAATATATTATGGGATAGATGTTATAGTTTGGGATCAAATAAAGAGAAACATATTAACACAATAATGAATATTTAGTGCAGGGAAAAGCAGGATTGACTAAACATAGCTGCCACTCAGGAATTTCAAAAAAGGAGGAAATTCATGCGAAGGCGGACGCGCGCTCTCCGAAGGCCGGAGTAAAACCAGTGAGATCCAGAGGCAATATACTGGAAAATCTAGCCTATGGTGTTAGAAGGGAAAACTGTCATATTTGTTAACCATAGGCTACTGAATTAAAATGTATTTGAAAAAAAACCCACCCAACAAAGGCACTAAGTAGACTAACAATAACAAGCATTTGAGTCAATTTGACACAATTTGGACTTGGTGACTAAAAATCCAGTGTTTGTTGCAAGCTGGTGTCTTATAAAAAGATTACTTTCACTTTAAACTTGTACATCGATGTACAGCGGGCGCAGTATTAGATCAAGGAGGCAACATCTTTGCCGCTGTACTGAGCACTCCTGTACAATTGCGGTCCCGTTTGCACTTAACTCAGTAGATCTAGATCTAGTCTAGATCTAGTCCCTCTGTAGTATGTAGATCTAACCTGAATTAAAATTATAGCCCAGGCTATCTAATCTAAAATCTAGATATCTAAATATGTGTAAATCTAGATTATATGTAGAAGATAGATTATCTAGATCTAGATTTACTTCAACAGCCACAATAGCCGTCATGTAAACAAACGGGACCGCAGTTGTACAGGAATGCCGCGGGCCGCGATTTCTTTATCGCACCAAACGCAAAGTGCAGCAAGCGGCTTGTTCAATTTTCTAATGAACTTTTCAAGTCGCACACCGGCCCGCATCTCACCTCAGAGTAGTCATAGTCGTCATGCCGTATGCCGTACATACAGTGGATGTAGTTCCAGATGGCCCGTCGGAATGAGGATGTGTCCACTTCACGATTGTCTCCCATACTGGGAAAGAAAAAAAAAAAAAACACTGTCAAGAAAAATGATGTATTGTAAATCTTTTTACACCCCCACATCCAACATAATTTACATCAATTAGAAGGTGGTGGGAAGCTTTGACACTACATGTAAGAGCTTAATGGAACACAGTATCCAAGGGGACAGGCAGATATATGAGCATTTGCCAAAAGGTGGGATACCAGGGTGTGACAAATGAGGTCCAAAATCAACTTTATGTAATAATTCTTTAATCACCCATATTATATAGCCTAATGATTGCTCTTTCAGGCTCAGTAACTGCCAAAGCTGTATATGCAATGGTCTTGGTGTAATTCTGACTTGAATGACGGAAATAGCAAAAAGTTCGTTCATAACAATGACACAAATTTATGAATACTCAAAGTTCCTTTCTTCAGCTAGGCTGATGTTATATTTTGAGACATAGCAAATAACTTCCAAAAATACATAGAATTGACAATTTATAAAAATCTTTATTAATTTTTGATAAAATTACTTTTTTGTGTCATAATAGTTATGAACGAACAATAAGTGACCAAAATACTATCGATTATATCAAGTTTCATCGACTAGAATTGTCTAAAATAACACTGTGGTCTAATTATAGTCAAGTGATAAATTGGAAGACCATTGAACAGCTATTTTTAAACGCAAACTGGTCTTAGGGCATATTATGCATAAATTTAAAGTTCGTTCATAACCATTATGACACACTGTTTCGTTCATAACTATTATGACAAATTTTACTTTTTGGCCCCTAAAATTTACTTATATTTATTTCACATAAAACGGTTTTCATTTATGAGGCTTTCTTTAAAATATGATAGATTCCTCTATGTAGGGAGAATTCAAAGTTTATTTCCTGAAAAACCCTTAGAATACCTTTAAAATGGTTCGTTCATAACAATTATGACAAACTTCAATTTTGACCTAAAAATTTACTCATTTTGAGCTGTCATTCATTTTTTTAAACTTTTATTAAATGAAACTCTCCTCATAATACGTATCTCTGTACATGTTTTTAAAGTTTGTTAACACTGAAAAACCCTCAAAATATATAAAGTGGACTATAAATAGTTCGTTCATAACCATTACTACAAAAGTATAATACTAATTAAAATCCACACCCATACACTTATGATAAAAATCAAAATATCAGAATGTATGTAAGGTCTATTCTGTCCTTTAGTTGGGTTAAAATTAAAAATACATCCCAAAACAACTGTAAATTACATGGAATAATGTTTCGTTCATAACCGTTATGACACACTGTTTCGTTCATAACTATTATGACAAATTTTACTTTGGGCCCAAAAAATTAACTTATTGTTCTGTCATTCACATTAAATTGTTTTAATTTATGAGACTCTCCTCAAAATAAGGTTATATGTGGGAAGAATTCAAAGTTTAATCACTGAAAAACCCTTAGAATACCTTTAATTGTTCGTTCATAACTATTATGACAAACTTCAGTTTTGACCTAAAAATTAATATTTTGACCTGTCATTTACTTTAAAATTTTATATTAAATGAAAGTTTCCTCATAATATGTATCTGTGTACATGTTTTTAATGTTTATCAACTCTGGAAAGCCCTCAGAGTACAATATTGTAGTTCGTTCATAACCATTACTACAAAAGTAAAATACTAATTAAAATCCAGACCCATACACTTATGATAAAAATCAAAACATCAGAATGTAAGCAAGGTCTAATACATCCTCAAGTTGGGTTAAAATTAAAAATACATCCCAAAACAACTGTAAATTACATGGAATAAGGTTTCGTTCATAACCATTATGACACACTGTCACGTTCATAACACGATGACAATCCATTATGACAAGCATATTTTTGCCTCTTCTTCGCTTCTCTTTTGAGTCATCAGCACGATACTCTTCCATGTTCATTCTACCATGTAAAAGGATGTTGTGAAACAGTGGGAAGTCCCTCACATAATATTTTGCAGAAATATCATAAAGTGTTTGTTCATAACATCATTATGACAAACCTGGATTATCTCAATTAAAGTCATATTTAAGCAAAACCATGCGATGGAGCGGAAAATTACCCTTCTGATGGATCAATGTCAAACCAATGTTTAATACCGGTCATTCCCCGGGATGAAATGTTTAACGATTTGGGTTTTCTAGACCTTGGAAAGTCTGATGATGTAATTATGACACGAGTTATGAACGAACTTATAAATTTTACTCAGCAATAACATCATTAATATAAAAAAATAAAACCCTTTTAATGGACACACGCTGTTATGATGGTGTATACAAACTATTTTCAATGTTTGAATGCACTTCTGTTTGATAGTTTAAGATTAACAATATTCTGTATTGAACATACAATTACGTGTGCACCCAGGATGAGTAAAAAATGCCCTATTTTTAGTACTATTATCTTTCTATGTAGAGATATAAGATGCACACATCAATCTACTTGCTCATGCAGCTTGACCAACTTATTTCCTTGCCATATACATAAAGTTTTAAGAAAAAAACATATTTTACCATGAGTAGTGGTTGATTTAAAAAGTCCTTAAGCAAACACCCCCACCTTTTGGCAAAAGCTCATATATACAGTCATATCTGCTTGAAAAGCCACTAGTCCAAGACAATCGCTTGTACAAATGACCACTTCCCCCCCTTGCAGTTTAATGGAACTGACCAACATGTCCACTTCTCTAAGACAACTGCTTTTCTCTTTAGACAATAGGTGCCTGCCTCAGACAATTTCTACCGTACTCAAGAAAATAGCTTCCTCACACAACGATCAAATATTATGTCTTCCGTGTGAAATGGTTAAGAGCCAAAGCATTACAACACAGATTTCATGACTACTATCAATACACCTGGTGTCTGCTGGACACAAACGACACACCCCAAACAGTACAAAATCATTAACTCGCATAAAAAACATGGGTACTTATCTACCTAAGTGTGTGCAAACATAGGTGCACATATTTTGTGAGTGAGCATGTGTGCCTGTGTGCATTAGAGTGGACGTGTGAGCATGAGTGCGCAACCTACGTGTAGTAAGTGAGGTTGGCAGCCAGATTGTACTTGTCATCCAGAAGCGTTCCCACATCCAGGTAGAGCCGGTTGGCCAGCGAGAAGCCATGGTCATCCCAGGAGTAGTCACACGCCCGGAAAGTGGCCACTTCGCTGACAGAGTCCCGCGAGGCAAAGTCGATGTAGGAAAACTCTGGGTCTTGCACAAAGCGCAGGATTTCCGCACGAGGGGAGTTGTTCTTGCCGGATGGAACTGTAACTGTAGAAAGAGGAGGTCATTATTGGAACTGTTTTAAAACACTGTACAGCAGACATACAAAAAATACTGTTTTACAACACATAAGCTCTTGTTTTGGTCTCCTAGCATTGATAGAGAGAAAGAAGGATTATTGGTTAAGACATCTGATTTATAGCACTATACCTAGATTTGGTCCCATTGAACTGGTTACAATCAATAAAAATGGACCCACATTTATACCTTTGTAAATTTGGGGGAGCTAGCCACTTCGTTTCTTATGAAATATAATCTAGATTATAGATCTAAATCTAGATCTAGATGATCTAGATCTAGATCTAGAATCTAGATTCTATTTGAATACTGTTACATTAAGATTCACATCTGGAACTAGATCTAGATTCTATATGAGATTTGGCTTCAGAACTAACCAACTAGAGATCAAGGTAGATCTAGATAAGATCTAGAGGTAGATCTAGTAGAGGAGGGAGAAAGAGATAGAGAAAGAAAGAGAGTGAGAGAGTGACAGTGAGAGAAAGAGAGAAAAGAGGGAAGTACAAAGTCCTTACTCTCAGCATTCTGATGTTCAACCGAGTGGAAGCGTTTGAGCAGCTCCTCAGGGCTGGTGGTGTTGGCGCTGGAAATGGCATCTAGCTGTCTCATCCGGGCCAGCAGTGCCTCCAGGCCCACACTCTCCTCATCCCCACACACCTGACACAGACAAAGAAACATGGGAAAAATTAATCACCCTCTGTGGGTTAGTGCAAGGGAGTATTGAAAAATGTTTTACATGCCCATCATCATTACTTTAGATTATCCAGGTTTTTTCAGTTTAAGCAAGTTTTAAGGCACTTCAAACACATAAGCATCGAAGATTAGATGTGTACTACAGAGTAACACACAAAGACAAGAAGGAGTGATAAGGATGAGAGGTAGCTGCTTCAACCTTATCTGTTAGGGCTAATCAGATATACTTGATTAGAAGAAAAAAAACCCTCTCTAAATGGGAATCGAACTCACATCCTCTACTTGCAACATTGAACAGCAAAATTTTTACACCAAAGACACCAGTACATATGTGTGTGCTGGTTCCTATGTATGTGTGTGTGTGTGTGTGTGTGTGTGTGTGTGTGTGTGTGTGTGTGTGTGTGTGTGTGTGTGTGTGTGTGTGGATCAGTGTATGTCGTATGTCGCACTATGTGTACCTGTGAATATAAGCTTGTGTACATATGTGTTCCCCTGCACATATGAGTATGTGTATTTGTATGTCCTTGTGCATGTGCATCTGACCTGCAAAGTGTTAGACTCCATCACACGTCACTTTTTCAAAATGGCGCATAGCGGAGTCTCAGACTAAGCAGTCGATGTGTCAGTTGCATGTACTCACATTTATGGTGTCCCCAGTGTCGCTGTTGGCCTCGCTGGAGTCCGAGTCTGTGGCAGGGCTGGCCGGCTGAGTGAGGGAGAAGCCCTGCATGTCCAGCTCAGGGTTGATGCCGCAGCCATAGACGAACGAGCACAGCGAGTGGAAGTGGGTCAGCAGGATGATGGCTTGCATCAGCTCTGACAGAGACCACGGCTCAGGGCTCTTCAGCAGATTCTTGAGGAGAAAATCAACAGTATTTTCTAGTCAGAACAAGACAGTGGAGCCTTCAAGGGGGATACATCTACACTTCAGTAACTAATGCTTGCAGATTTTTTAAAAAGCCATTTGGAGTGAGTCAAGTATTCGTAATTGACTTGCCAAAGGTTAAGGTAATATACTGGGTGAATGCAAGCTAGCTGTGAAGGGCGGAGGACGGAGAGCCAGCGAAAAGAAGGAAAAGCTTCTGTCTATGCTTGAAACCTGAACCCGCCTAATAATACCACCACTGAAAAATGATCGAAGGCCTATGATCTGACTACAGGTATAAGTACAACCAGGTTTTATGCAAAAACAATATCAACACCCTTCCCCCTTTTTTTCTTTCAATTGCTGTGTAGTAAAAATGAACATCTTTTTAAAATTTTCTCTTATCTATGCGTGCAAGTGACAATGCCCCCACCCTCATCCATGTATGCATTGCTGTGTGGTGATAACAACAAAACCCCACTTACATGTATGTGCTGTTTGGTGATTAGCCAGGGCTGGTGTGCCAGGATCTTGTTGACCTCATAAAGGTCCTGCAGCTTGCGTGGAGCATGCGCGATGCCTTTCAGCCACTGAGGATCTCCGTTGTGCAGCAGGAAGTCTTGTTCATGGAGCTTGACCAGATAGGTACAATGATGCCGTGCTGCCGCCTGCACACACACACACACACACAAAAGGGAAGGGCTGAGATCTTTCTTATCATCATGGTCTAAACATTATTATATTTTCAGATTTCTAGTTATTGGTACGGAAAAAATACATCTTATCTGCTGTCCATGATAGAAATGTAGTGCCAGTACTCATTTCATGTGCGTGTGTTTGTTTGTTTTGTTTTGTCCTGAAAGAGTTTTTACTGCGCTCACAACTGCATACGGTCATACGAGTGTGCGAAACACAATTTGGTTGCATTCACAACAGTTCACTGCACAACTGGGCTCGGGTCAATATTCAGATTTTTAAATGTGCATGTGTCGGTGTGTGTTTGCGAGTGCATGTGCATGAGTCTGTATGGCTGTGCTCATTACGATAGTGACAAAGTGCCAGTATCCGTGCGAGTCTCTACATGCCCATGTATATATGTAAACATCTCTAAGCAAGTGAGCTTGCCATGATAATGACATAGTGCTAGAACTCATGAGTGTGTGTGCCCAAGTACTCACCAAGATGAAAATGCAATGAGGTATCTCATGTGTATGCATATATGTCTCCGAATGTACTCACTGTAATGTTGTGCTTATACTTGTGTGTGTGTGTGCAAGTATTCTCATCCCGCTAGCAATATAGTGCCAGTACTCGTGTGTGTGCCCACCATGACAGTGGTCTATTGCTGATACCCAGTGTGAATGTATTTCTATGCGTGTCTGTGTATACTCACCATGATGGCAATGTAGTGTCGGTACTCATAGGGCAGCGGGCCATCCTCTCGGAGCAGGAAGTTCTGTGTGGTGAGGAAGTTGCGCAAATAGTCAGGGTGGTAGCCCATCACCTGGCTGATGTGCTCCAGACGGTTGTTCTGTAGGAATGCCTCCATGAACACACTCTGGTTCTGAGGACACACACAAAAAGACGCGCACGTGAAAACTCTGGTTCCAAGGACGCACACAAAATCAAAAAGGCATGAACACAACAGTTCTGGGACAAGCAGACAGACATACACACATCCATTAAACACTCAAGAGTTCTGCGGACAAGCTGACATGTTAACCTTGATCTGCCAACAGTAGACAGAGATAACCACTCTGGTTCTGTGGACAGACACAAACCATCAGCTTTGGTCAGAACATTATGACCTAGTGCAAGCACCTAACCCACTACCCCCCTGCCCGACCCTTCTGACCCCAGCTGTCAGCCATCAGTGGGTTATCATAAAGCGCAGCCGCTCATCACTGTTCACCTTTCTCCTCAGAGACAGTCCTGGCACGTATTTGCCCCAGCTAACCCTTTCACCATTTACTCTATCTCTCTTCCAGCATCGCAGCTGACCACAAGAAGACGCCACACTGCAGGCCACTCTCCTGACCCCAGAGCTGGCCACCACAACAACCCACCCCCTTCCTTTCTTATCACAAGAAATGGCCATTGCGACTAATCACAGGCTGGACTATTTAGCTCTCTCGCTTTTACACTTGTCTTATAATTATTTCACCTTTTACTCCATTATTTATAGTGGAGATGTGAGATTATAATATTATTATAGAACAGAGAAAGTAGGCCTATAGCTCGTGTCCCTAGTGAGAGGTAGAGATAGAGAGAGACAATCTCCCCCACCCTCCTACAAACAAAGGTTCATTCTGCATTATAATCCTCCACTTCTAGCTCCTATTTACTTACCTCGGTAAAGAACGGCACAGTTCTCATCTTGGTTGGGCTGAAGCAGTAGTAACCCATATTGTATTTGAGAGCTTGCTACTGTATGGACAGCAGAAAGACGGGACAGAACTATCACTACAACAAGCTCCAACTCTTGATAACAGCACACTTGAGCTTTCAAAACTTTGGAGTCAGCCCAGAGATTAAGGAATTCACACTTAACACAAGTATACACACTTCTTAGACTGAAACAATTTTCCACGCAGTTTCTGTATCCGTTCCTCTGTTTGTAAAAGCCGTTACTACTATACAGAGTTTCTTAAAATATAAACACTTAGAAGGGACTTATATGATAAACCAAGATTGTTCGTGAAAATGTTCAATGACGTTTTAGATACAGTCCACCAAATTCAGCAAATGCACAAAAATGACAATAATAATAAACTAGATCTAGATCTAATATTACCAAGTATTGGCTTGGATAGATTACAATATTTACAGTCAGCAGGGGCTGGTTATAATAGAAGCAAAGGCTACGATGAAAATTAGAAATACACTGAATATATGCCAAGATCTCTTGTCATGACGGTTGGGCTCCTTGATGATGGCCCTGCCGGGACGTTCCAGTCATACTGACATATTGGGCTTCAGTTAGCCATGGTAGTAGCTTACTGCTATTGTTTTAGTCGGCCACTCGGCGGGGGCGGTGATGATAACAGTTCTAGAAAAAGTTCACTTTCACGTATAAAGGTTGCGAATTTCTCAAACTCACAAACAACCACAACTGCACTGGTAATAAACAGATTGCTCCTCATCTTCATGGAGAAAACAGGATGTGAATACACGCGAATACGGATGTTGATACGGTAGTTTTCTTAGCAGACGACAGTAGAAGAGGGGACGACTCAAATTTAAGGAACGTCCTTATATACCAGTGGGGCAGTCCAGTCTACAACGCCAGTTGCCTTGCGCTTGCATCAGAATCAAGACTCAGACGTAGGCACCCAGGCGTGAGAGTGTGCGTATATTTTATGTCCGTGTGCTCGCAACGCACCGTCTGGTTTAAAGTTTCACCTTCGCGCACGCGGCGTGGCGGTGGTGTTTGTGCGTGTGCCTCCAGAAAGTTTATGCCTCTCACGCCAGAAAGTTTTTTCTTGTAGAAAAGGAAAATAAGAAGACTACGGCCCTTATCGCGCGCCAGCACCCGGCACTAACCACAAGCGATGTTCAAGCATTGCGTCAGCTCCCGAGTTACAGCCTGTCACAAACAGCGAAACACGCGCGCGCTTCATGCTCACCATTCCAATCAATATGCACAGTCATAAAAAATTCACACACACACACACACAATTGTCTGCTTTACGTTTACTTAGCCTAGCGACCTGGCTTATATACTTTAGCCCGCACAATCTAACTTAACAACCAACGCTGCCGTTTTAGTTTTAGTTAGACTTTTTATGGCACTTGTAACACAAATTTATACGCCATTTATGGTGAAGTATTATTCAAAGAAAAGAAAGGAAAGGGATAAAGACGATAGAATGTTGGATAGGAAAGAAAGAAGGTGCAAACCACACCAGAGTACACGCCAACCACCCTCAGCTCTACTGAACACTTGGCCAGTGAAAAATAATTGTTCATACAAGCACACAAAGACGCGAAGATGTATTAATATTATATAAGACACGTATATCTTTATTAGCGTACGACATGAACATAATGTACTGCTATCTTTGCATACATGAGTTATTTTCTGAAAATGATGCAATGTTATTTTTCCATCATCACCTGAGAATGTATACAGTAGGCCAACTGCTATCTTTGTATGAGATGTTCATGTACTACTATCTTCGTATGAGATATTCTATCTTTGCATGAGATATTCTGCTATCTTCGTAAGTGATGTACTGTTATTTTGGTACGAGATATTCTGCTATCTCTGTATGTGATGTTCTGCTATCTCTGTATGTGACGTTTTTCTATCTCTGTATGTGATATTCTGCTACCTCTGTAATCTGTATGTGATATTCTGCTATCTCTGTATGTGACGTATCTCTGTATGATATATATATATATATATATATATATATATATATATATATATATATATATATATATATATGTATATATATATATATATACAAATATATACATATATATATATATGTATATATATATATATATAATACAAATATATACATATAAATAATATATATATAGCTATCTCTGTATGTGATGTACAGCTATCTTTGTATGAGCTATTCTGCTATCTCTGTATGTGATGTTCTTCTAGCTATCTCAGCATGTGATGTAAGCTCCTGCTATCTTAGTAAATGCACATGTCAGTGAAGTACTGCTATATGGGTGGTTGGCGGACACTCTAGCCTGGTTTGCTTCTTCTTTCCTATCAAACGTCTATCGTCTTTATCTCCCCTCCTCTTTTTTTGTGTTTGTTACTCTCTTGTAACACCTTTAATCTTCGGCACTTATATGACCTTATTGTGTTGCTAGTGTCGTAAAACACTTATGAAAACATAAAACGAAGTACTGCTACCTCAATATTCTCAGCATGTCGTGTACTGCGAGTGGTTGGAGGGTGCATGTGGTAGATCTTATTTCTTTTCCTTCCCTTTGTTGATTCTGTCCATATGTATGGCTTCTTCCCTGCGCAATATGACCTTTGTGTCGATAAGCTTCCCTTTACTTAAACTCAAATGTACTGTAATCAATTGGTAGTGTAGGTGTAAGCTACACTCAAAGCTTTTGTGGGTTTTAGTTACCCCCCCCACCCCCATCGTTATACCGCCAGATTTTGCCAATACATGTATATGAAAAGGAACACCATTATGAATTAAACAAAATATTTGTGCCTTTTCACCACCATCCGTCAACTGTCTGAGTTGTGTGGCCCTTAATGCCTTATAAACCTTACGTAAATTTGTCCCGCTATACCGCCAGCAAATTTGCACCTATTAAGAAAATGTTAGAAGTAATAGGCTTTGGCCAATACCTTTTTAAATACTGAAATGAAATTTTAAAGCTGCACAGGAGAAACTTCATAGGAATCCATACCTGCCAACCCTACAGATAAAATCGGTTTACTGTTTGGTCAAACTGCCAATCCACCGATTTTGAGAGATAAGCCACCGACATGTCTTCTTTATTGCAGTAAAATGTCAGGCCTTTGTGTGTAGTAGGCCTACACTATACGTACCAATTTAAAATTACCACCCATCCGTTGATTAAACACTAGAGCTGGAAACTACTAGATCACTGACCCAACACGCGAGTTGCCGGCAATGCCGGCATGCAAGAGGCGCGTGATCGCTAGGCGGCATGTGATCGACTGACTAAAACCAGAGGGTTTACAGTTATACAATGTTAAAAGTGCTAAAACCAAACAGATTACCAATAACGTCCTTGCGGGTTTTCCCGATACTGCTTTGCTAAGGTGTAGTGGGGAGATCGGCCACAGTTCAAGCGATGTCGCGCAATTCAACACGTTTTCATGCAAATTTAATTTTAGTCTTAAACTTAAAAATCCAAAGATAGACTTTGAAAAAGTGATAGCAGAACTAGATTCTGCAATAAAAATCACCTGAAGATGCCAAGTTTCATTCATATACCTCAACGCATTACTGACTTATGAACAGTTTTTCCTCAAAATACACACAAGAAACGTCCCACTTTTTGGCAATATTTTCCTTATTATGATAGTCCTCCCAAATTTTGAAACAAAAAATCCCAATAACTTTTTATTTATGAATGGATTTTTAGAATTTCAAAACCACAGTTCTTAGAATTTACCCTTCTTTCATTTAAGCTGGATGCAAATTTAATTTTTCATTGTCAAAGCTAATTTTTGTTTTTTGTTCTTTGTCATTTTCTACATCTGTTTGAAGCCACAAACACACTCATGTATATGTGGGTCAAAATTAAATATTGATAAGGGTCCTCAATGAAGTATCGGCAAGTGGTAATATAGCCTACTACAGATTTTTTAGGTCAACTACAGATTTTTGGAAAAAAATTTGTGTCAACTACAGATTTGGCCCACGCAATCTTGGCAAGTATGCATCGCTTGGTATAAGCCTAATGACTAAAATGTGAGGACTCACGCTAAAGTCAAAGTCTACATTACAAGTCTAAGGTGGCCCGAGGACTGACAAGAATTGGGGGAAAAGAAGAATAAAGAGTCCTTGACACATACAGCCTAGCTTTTGATCCCAGTTCCTTTCAATTTGAAAATGTAAAATTTAGTTAGAGCAGTGTATGTACGTAATTAGCTGCTTCCTATTTTTTCCCCTGCACATGGCAATCACGCAAGACAGATCTAGGAGTCTAGTAGGAGTCAAGACTGGCCAGTCTGTCCCGAACCTTCACTAGTCTACCACCAAGATGGCAATTGGGGCTACCTCGCTATACTGCCAGCTTTATGTCAGGTAGGCGGTATAAGGCTAGGCTATTTTGTTACAATTGTTACTTTTTTTGCAGTCCTACTAGGATCTATGTATGTGATGCCATTTCAAAATGTGAAGTAGTGATGTATGTTATGCTCCAGTTCTCTCAGTAGCCCTGTGTGACATGTTGTGGGCCTTCAACATACCTCGCATTATCCAGAGTCACACAAAGAAAAGACGCAGCTTTAAGACAGAAATGGCAAAGAGGACAGGGGAAATTAAAAGCGGGCAAGTAGGAAAAGACAGTACAGCATTCACTATGTGATATTATGGCACTATGTGATATTATGGCACTATATGATATTATGGCACTATGTGATATTATGGCACTATATATATATATATACTCACATCCTCAACTGTTGTGTCAGCAGGAACGACCTGAGGGGGGAACAGAGAAAAAAAAATTATTACATTTTAGTCATTTCCCTCCACCTCTTTCGTTTCTCTCTCTTTCAATAATGTGGCATTGTAGTTGTACAGCTTATGAGGAAATAAATTGATACTTTCCTCTACAACGTGAAATCCTTATACATGCATTTTTCTGACAGTTCCCATTGAAATGTCTAGGAGTAAAATATTTAAGATTAATAACATGCATCAGGATCGGAACCTACTTAAGTATATATATATATTATATATTAATATATATATATACATATATATATATATTAATATATATATATACATATACATATATTATATACATATATATATATATATACTAGACTCACCCCCCCCCCCAAAAAAAAACCCAAAAAAAACCCCCAACAACAACAAAATGGAAGTCTGGAACATTTGTCAGAAAATTTGTGATTAAATCCCATTTTCCGTTATCTCGAGTTACAAATTCACTTTCATGATCAATAAGTTTCAGGCAAAGTTGCTCAAGTGTTCACTGTGAGAAGCAGCTGTTGAGAATGGAAGTCCTGTTTTTAGTTTTAGTAGAGGTATTACGGCACTCGCAACTGCATAAGGTTTTATGAGCGCCAGAAGATTAGGTGTCACAAGAGAGTAACAAACATAAAAAAGAAGGGGAGATTTTCTAAGGACGATAGATGTTTGATAGGAAAGAAGAAGCCAACCACACCAGAGCACCCGCCAACTACCCACGGATATCCTGTTTAAACAACACGTTTTCCCCATTTAAAAAAAATAAAAAGTTTTACCCCTCTACTGACACAAATAACATGAAGGACATACTGCTTCAACTTGGGCCCAGTTGAACTAGGAGCAAATTCAATAGTATGTAGTACTTCACAAAATAGGGCCTATCCCTAGCCTAGACCGACTTAAAAAGTCACATTTAAATCACAAGCTACTGATACCGATCTGATGAATGCTTGTCTATGAATGAGGTTCAATCTAAAATATTTTGATAACAATTTTCCTCAGAATGATCAATGACTTAACTCAATAATGAGAGTGATGGACATATTCCGAAGTTTTACTACTGGTACATCTGGTACTTCAAAACTCTGATACCTTTCTAAGATATAAAATCTATCAGTTTTTATGGTGAGTGTATTAGTGTACTAGCTGCCTTTTTTATTCTTCAAGAAAATACAATATATGTAAATAAACAGTATTTCTATAATAAATCATAAATGTTTTTGAAAAATGAAAAAATGTTCCTTAAAATTTCCCCATGAAAACTAGTCTAGGCTCTTGTACAGTGACTAATTATATTACGATCATTTTTTGCGAAAATGTACTTTTATTTTTATTTTTTAGATTTGCCAAATGATTCGACAGATCTCACAAACCTGGATGGCACAATTTGCCAACCCCTGGTTCAGAAACAAGTAGACCATAGTACGCTTTTCACCACCACCCCCTGCCTTCGGCCTCTATCCAATCATGACCTACTTTCGAGTGTTGGATTGGGCCAGTAATTACATGTATGTAAATAGGGGCATTCGGATCGATATAAACTTAACATAAGTTCTGATGCTTCCGAGGATAAGTCCATAACCAACCAACACATTGCTCTGCTTATCACGATACACCACGTCCATTGAAGTTCACTTTTGATATTTTCACGTGGCTACTGTCAAGCCCGTGGTCTATTACAAATTAGGCACGTGTCTTGGACGGGTCTTAAATCATCAATTTAATCATAATCTGATATTCCATGAGGTAAAACTGGCTGCTTTATCTTTCTCTTGCGTCACTTTATCTGAGTCCATCAACTACTCGCTATTTTTAGAACAGCTCTTCCATGTGTACAAAGCCCTTTGAAAAGCTTCAGAAAAAAAACAACATGCAGCTGACGCAGCCTACTGTGCTTTTGCAGTTCACAGAGCCATGACATTTAATTTAAAGTGCTGTGTCATAACATAATAAAGCAGGCTGTGCGAACATGCATAAAACATTCCACGAGTTTTTGAAATATGGGGGGGTTTAATGGAAAAAAAGAGGGGGGATTCAGAATGTCTATGTTTCCTCATGACCAAAAATAAAATTATTTAATAAGTCATAGAAGAGATTACACTAGAACATTTTAATAAGCAAGATTCCCTGCATTTAATAAAAAAAAGAAAGAAAGAAAGAAAGGGTCGAGTGGGCTATGAGAAAATTCGGTGTGAAAATAAAAGCCATGTGTTTTCTTCTCTTCTTCTTCTTTTTTTTTTGGGGGGGGGGGGGCTTCTTCTCGATCGCATCACACTTGAAGTCTGGTATCTGTCATAAATTGGGCTGTCCAGCACAGGTGTTTTACGGCGCTTGCAACTACATACGGTCATATGAGCGCGAGGGACACATTAAACATTTTCAGTTGGTAGGAAATTTTGAATTTTGCCCGGGTTGTGGCCGAAGCCTATTGTTCTCGATTTTAGACCACCAACGGATCTTTAACTACGTGCACAAACTGCACACAGGACCTCCGAGATGTTTCCCCTTAGTCCGAGAAGGCTAGGTGTAGATCTTTCCTACCAGAAAATCAGGAGTGTGACTGAAAGACAGCAGTAAGGAGCCAAGGAGTAACAGAAGAAAGGTTGCAGAAAGAGTCAAAAGCCCAGAGGAAGGGGCAAAGGAGGCGAGGGGGTGGGGGCAGAAAGTGGAGATGAAAGCAGACGACAGAACTAGAGAGCAGGAAAGGAGCTGAAAGGAGACAATTTTAGAGAAGAAAATGTTTTGGATTCGAACCTGGGACCTTCGAAAGAGAGGCGAACATCTTAACCTCTAGGCCACGAGAGCCCCCATGCGTTTTCTATGATGTGGCTGTCAGAAAACATAGTAACCCATTGAACTGCCATTAACAAATACATGTGAGGCACCATGGTGAAACCTGACGCTTGTTTAAATAAATTTTAAAAATTTTAAAACCCAGCATTTTTCTTCCCATTTGGCAATTCTTAATCAAACTTTCATTTCTTTTTTTTGGCTCAATGCTTTTTACGTCCATTAAAAAAAAACATATATCCACGTGTGGATTTTTACTGAAAAATGTTGATTAAAGGGGGAAAAAAAAATTCCTGTTTCCAAGACTCTTCAGCTTTGAAACTCACCAAACTTTGGCAGCCATTTCCTTGCTAATTTTACCCCTGAAACCAGGTGACTCCAACCTCCTTCAATCCAAAATATCTCGACTTATATTGAAGAGAGAGGGGTAATTTTTTTTATTCAAAAGAAACACAAATGGACATGCTTCAAGATGATACCAGCAAGTCCATATGCTCAAAAATTGACGAACACCAGATTCCACCACATCATGCATGACACATATTAAAATATTGTCGTATTAATAACGATTTTTACTAAAATTCTTTCAAAAGAATATGTTGGATGTGCTTTCACACCGCATGGATCCACAACTTCTCCAACTGTTAACTGTATTTTAGTCAGAAAAAAGCATTCCAAAATCTAAAAGGGGATTGCTGTACCGGAAATGAACGGCACAGAATATTCACTAACCAGTGCTTGTAAGTCATGCATCTACATTAAATATCTGTTCAGATGGTCCTTGCATGTGCATCACTTGCACGCCAGAAAGCATCACCAGTGTTACTGTTTGACTACATTTCCAGACACATCAACAGGCCATTATGCTGTGTATATCGACACTGGGATAGCAAATGTATAAGTGTCACACTGTCTCAACAAAGAAGCCCACCTAGGCCCTATAGCAGATAGTAGTAGAGTTGCTGGAACCCATAGAGATGAAAGAATAACAACAGCAATCAAATTGACAGCGGGGCACTGATGTCAGACAAAAACACAACAAAAATTATCAAGTGTGTAAGGTCACCAGTGACTCTGCCATGTGCGAGTCAGTCACTCAAACATTCTTCATTGCACTTGCACCATACCTCCCTAGTTCGATCCAAAAATGTGTGACAGAAAAGATGATTTTGAGTAATTTGAGACAAAAAATTCACCTACAGAGGGGTGGGCACAGTACATCATGCTGTATTGCCTTCAACTTTGCTGGTGTTAGGCGGAGGTTGATGCAAGGTGATTTTTTTTTTTGAGCCAACAACCCTCAAACGCAAACACGTACTACATACACACACATACGAGTCGCAATCCCATGCTGTGATGTTGTTATGTCAAAAAGTGATATATGAAGAGAAGCATCAGCGAGCCAATGAGGCCTAATGCTCGATCGCTAAGCTGTAATATTACACACAATGATCAAGACTTCCCCTCCTCATGGAGAGACTGAAGGAAGGTGGATCTTTCCATATGATGGTGTAAAACTGAGTTCTTATACTCAGCAAAGTGTATTTTAGTCATGAGCGGATGTTGTGAGGAGATAAGAGAGAGAGAGATGCATCTACACTAAGTCAAATTATGAACCATTCTAGGAGTTCACACTGTTTTTATCATCAAATTTTTTGTGTGGACAATCTATGATATATATGTAACCAGGGATCCATCTCAAACTCAAGCTCGCAATTAAAAGAGGAGACTAAAGCACTAAGGCTTGTCCATTTTTATCTGCTGTACACAAATTTTGACTTTATACCAAACTCAAATTATTACTTGATTTGAGGGGGTTTTAGTTGGCATGGCAGCAAAAGGCATATCAGTCAAGCCCCCAAAACAGGGCACACTGCATGTGGGTCCGACAGTAAAAATTCACCCAATTTATTGCAAACAAAAGCTGTGGTTACAGGGATTAATTATTAGATATAAATTAATATAAATGAAAATTCCACTACACAAACTTTGGTTGCTATTAGGTGGTGTTTGCTCTTATCTGAGTTGCTTTTTTAAGGACACCACAGTATAATATCATAATGGTGCACTATATTATAATACATTGTTAGTCTCCACTTGGAACTCGGCCAACAGGAAACAAAAAATGGCTCCACTAGCAGATTTTAAGGGCCACTTATTAGCTCATGTCTGATTTTTTTTTAAAGTGTTTTACAGCG